TCACTCCATCTACAACCTCCTTGGAAATGCAGCAGTAACCTGAGCAAACAATCACATTATCAATTCGATTCATCATACATAAATAATAACATGGTGTGTACTCATCAATTAGTTTGCCTTCAGAAACACAAGTTGACTAGTTATTTCATTTGTAATACTTTCTTCCTCGTAGACGGGACGACCTAAATACGTACAATACTGTAGTCTTTAAATTTAGTGGTGTATGCATAAAGTCTTATATACTTGCTCCTTGTCTTTCCAGATGACCGACACGTAGGGAGCTTCAAATGAAGAGGATACTGGTCATCTGATAAAATAGCTCTTGACAGATGTTTATATGAGTTAAGATGTTTATCCAAAACAGTTTCACTCATAAGGTTTAGAGGTACATCACTAGTTCTGCTGATAATCTTCAAAGTTCTCCACAATATAGCATAATCTTTTATCATGAACCCATGAAAAAATAAGGAGGAGCAATAGAGGAGGACAGACAAGATTCAGGAGCTGATAAAAAAACACAAGAGAAGCGGTTGAGTTCTACCAGAACCTCTCAGCTTCCTAATACAGTAAGTTAGGTGGACCATCGTCTAACAGTAGATAAGAAATCATTCAGCTGGGAACAATCTGTTGAAGGGGAGACAGGTATGGAAACTGTCTACCTTTTCTTTGTGTATACTACTGTGAAATGTGGCAATATGAGCCGATTTACCTGTATGGAAGGTTCTAAGCTGATTTTGCCTGTCTATCTGTCTGATACGGTTATCTTACGTTTTCTGCACCACTAAACACTGAAATATGAATCATAAGATTCTGATATTATGGAGTTGTCGTGTAAACCAACACAACAAATGTACAATACTCTTCTTGGTTATTAATTTACGCTAGTATCTTAAGTGATAAATGCCAACATCTGGAAACAGTTTTAATGAAATCAACACCATTTGCGGTACAAAGTGAGTAGACATTTAAGACTTGAGTGATAAGAGCTGAAGTGAAACACACTAACTCATACATAACATACCCTTCACATTAAAAATTCAGCAAGTGAGATTTGTAGTTTTGCGTTGTTTACCTCACTGGAACGAAATGATCAATGTTTGCTGGTATGTCACATACTTAGATGACCATCTCATTGTTGCTATTTAACAATGACTAACAGTGTGCATCTTGATGCATTTCAAACTTAACAGCAGGCAGTACCTGTATCCCAGTGAGTGATGATATTCTGTAGATTATACATCCCAGCACATGGCGTTTTGTACACTAAGACAGTAATCACTAGACTAGTGGGTCGAAAGTTACCTCCTATGTAGTGGGTACTGGTTTCCACTCAGGATTATTAGTTCCTCTTTAATTCGTTAACTGAAATGAAGTGATTGATCTCAGTTAACCTCAGTAGTTTAATGAGTTACATTATTTCATGTTTGAAGTGTTCAGTGATGACTTTGAGTCAAAGTGGAAGTGGAATTAGTTATCAAGATTCGAGGTATCCATTTGTTAATGTTCAAATAGAATGAAAAATACGATACTCACTTGGAGGCAAGTATATTTAGATGACAAACCCCAAAAAGGCGAAATGTGACTTCTGGATTTCTCTGCTACATCATTATCAAATATTAGTTTCAAATAAGATGAAATAAGCCTTCTAGACGAGCAATGCTTGTACTATATTCAAACAAAAGAAGTAAACCTATGATATAGGTGCACATCATTCCAAGAAAGATGTTGGTAGCATGTTCAGTAAGCAGGTTCAATGTATGCCAACACCTTCACTAAATGGCCAGTCAGATTAGAATCCAACAAACCGCCTTTTTATCAATGTCCATCTACAGGCAATTCAATTCACTCTTTTTAAAGTACTGGTACACTGATGACGATGTCTAGACGTGACAGTGAGATGTTCCTCACCAAAACTTCAGCTAAAGAAAATATGTAACTGAAGTAGGAGTTATGTCACTGGAAAGCAGCTTTACTAAGCCTCCGACTGGATAGATAATTAGTGGATATATAATAATGACAATGAATTTTATTTCAACAAAACTACATCATATATATATATATATATATATATATATACATATATATATTGTATAAATACACTAGGTCAGAGATGAAATAACTTCTTTCGATTGGCTCCAGGAAGTAAGGAATTGTCGAATAAGATTTATCCTGACCACACAGCAGCACAGATCAAAATTTGACGCTCGAAAATGTGCGTAGCATTATTCAATAACTTCAAATACCACTTTCTATCTAGCTATTTCTTGTCTAAAAATGCTTTTGATAAAAAGTGAACTCATTCTAAACATCAGCCTATTGGCAATTCTGTTATTGTTGTATTCTAGTGTAGTACACATCAGATACGCAACAACTGAAGAAAGTTACAAATGGATTCTTCTTATATTTTCGTACGCCAACAGTTATATACACTCCGAACGAATATAATACTCACGCTTAGCTGACAGGTAACTTAGTACACTAGATGCACTGACTACATCCTCGAGACGAAAAGAGAGAAAACCGAAGCTGGATGATGGGAAAGTTTATTCCTCCGAGAATATAACAATAACAATGAATCCCAAAACAAGTGAATAAGTACATACACGAAAAGTGACCTTGTCCTCAATTGAGACATTAGCATGCTAAGACTAAAGATTAACCAATCACCGGTTTACATTACAATGGAGACAGAAAGTAGATTATTAGCCATACAGTAAAACATGGTGTGGGAACGACACGTCACAACAGTTCCTTTACTGCTGTAGCATTTATTTACGTCAGTACTAATTCAGATTTTTGGATTTCGACCGAGTAGCTAAGGCTGGATGTACTCGCTAAAAGATTTGAAGGTAATATGTTCGATTACTGAAGGGGTCGTGGTTGCACACTTCTAAGGAGTCCCGTATTAAGAAAAAGTAGCTGTGCATTCTTCCTGGGCTTTCAGTGGTTCTCCAAATAATGTCAGTTCGTGGCGAAGTTAACCTTATGTTACATGCTGATGGGCTAACAACGTCGGTTGTTTATAACGCAAGCTTTGAACACTGCGCGCTTTTGGTATTGATAGGGGAACCTGTCTGTGTGATTGGGAAATGAAAATCCATGCCCGTCTTATGAATTTCAGCAAATTTTAACAACATTATGCACACTAATGACTTGATATGTGAATTATTTAATACTAAATACCAGTTGGTAAACTTTCAAAAAAGAATGAATTTGACGGTGCTTATAAACTGGTATCCCTCATGATATTATTATTAATTATTTATCCCTTGGGTTCCTAACGGAACATAGCGATTCAGTAGCACGTCTCCATTCCACTCTCTTCTCTGCAATCTTTTCAACCTGCTTCCACGACAGCCCACAACCTCTCATTTCTTCCTCACACAATCTCCTCCATGTCACCCTCACCTCGGACAACCAACTCGTCGTTTCCCATTGGGGTTCCACTCGAGCAACTGGCCTGACGCGTGATGTCCCCAGTCGGCCCTCTCACTGTATGCCCAATCCAATCCAACCCATCTACACTTCCTTCTGCATATTTGTTCAACGATACGATCTTGCTTCGTTGGTTCGTTGGCAGGCAGCCAGAGTTCCTTGTTGCTTATTCTAATTGTTCTGGCCATCTGATCTTCAGTATCGAGGCAGGGTAGGAAGCTGTTGATGAATATGTGTAGTTTGTTGGAAATCCTTCTCGTAACACTACAAGTCTCTGAACCATCACATAGAAGCATTGACTTGACTGGATTTGTATTGAAAATTCGGATGTTGTCCACGCTTTATGCTGAGTGCAGAAGATCTCCACACTGGTTTCAGGTTAATAAACACCTGTCTTGCTGTCTTTCCGGTCCTGACTTTCACGTCCTCGTCTGTGCCACTACCGCCTGTAGTTGAGACGATGCTGCTCTGCCTAGATAGGTGAAAGAGACTACTTCCTTTAAGTTTCTCTCGTTCATGGTGATTGGTGTTTGTTGTTGCTGGTGGTGGTGTTGGTTGGGTATCTTCATCACCTCTGTCTTCTCTACATTCACTTGAAGGGAGTCCTGTCTTCGTTGCCCTGCCCTGCCCTGTCTCTTCTGTCAACTTGTTGGTTTTTGCCTGTAGATCTTCAAGTTTGTGTGACATCAGACACAAGTCATCGGCGAAATCCAGATCTTCTAGGTTCTTTTCTGCGGTCCAGCGTATCCCCCTCTTCTCTCTCCTCACTGTTTGCTGCATGATCCAGTCGACCACAATCAGGAATATGATGGGTGATAGTAGGCAGCCTTGTTTTACTCCTGTCTTCACTTCAAAAGCATCACTGAGCTAGCTTCCCATTGTGAATTATTTGACTGGTATGTAGCGTCTTCATATAGTTGTTGAATGAGGTTGATAAGAGTTTGTTGTATTCCGTAGTGTTGAAGCAACTGCCTGCCAAATTAGTTCTTGTTCGACTCTGTTCAAGGCCTTTTCAAAGTCGATAAAGTTGAGGTAGAGGGTTAAACCCATTATATGAGGATAATATTTATTATTATCTAAACTTTGACACTCTGTATACGCTGAAAAGTGATATTTCCTTGTTCGTTTCATAACCAGCAGGATCTTCTGCTGTTTTTAATAGAGTCTAATGACATTCCGTCTGTATCAGTCAGGACTCGTAATGTCTTTTAGATACCTTGATATGTATTAACGTGATGAAACCTGTAAACTGGTTTCTCTCACGTTAAATTTTTTTAATGTGAGAAAAAACATTTATTTATTTATTCAGTCTTGTTTTTCGGTGTTCTCGGATAGTTTCATTCGCAATCTTCAATTTTCCTAAAGAGAAAGAATTCGGTAGTTAGTGGGTCATCAGTGTTAGACAAGTAAGTGATGGAATGTTACTTTAAGGAGCCTTAGTCTAAATTGTATACAACTCATTCTTGAACACTTCACCAAATGATGTTAATCTGTAATGTAAATCACGTTGAAAGTAAACTTATTTGCCAGTATATCTTGCTTGGAAAAAGTTGGAACATATGTTGCGCTACACAAATGACTTTATAAAGGAATGAAGTTTAAACTCTTTTTATAGATTATTTTACCAAACAACATCTAAAAACATGATTTTTTTTAAATAAGTACATATATATATTCATTAAAACAAGTCGAGTTATAGAGAAATTCATGGTATTCAATGTTCAATAGGAAATCAATTTTACATATAATAATTCCAATATAGGTGAAACAAATGAACAGATTATGCATTTATATAGTTAGCTGCACTCATCTTGAATATAAAGATTTCTGTACAGATTTGATGATCATTTATGAAGAGTAAAATCAAGGAAGTTTATCTTGTTATTTCTGAAGATTTATTTTCTTGGAGCTGAAATTCCACTAGTTGTAAAAAATGGTTCTGGATCAGCTCGACCAGCTTTACCTAGACCTTTACCTGTCTCTGCATCGAAACGTTCTTTATGTGAACCAGTGAATGACTTTACATCTGTTAATCTTGATATAGTTGGATCAGAACTGATTTTCTAAAATTAAACAGAAATGTAAACCGTATGTACTTCACTCTTCCTATGACCGGTAGTATGACCTAATAGTCTGCGAGTGATATAAGCCTGGCAGACTACGAATGATACTAACCTAACGCACAAACAACTCGACTCGAGCGTAAATCAGGGCATCAACCACCACAACAACAATACCACCGACATGTGAAGACAGACCGTTGACAGAGAGACAGCTTTTATTGTCTCAACAACTGTCAATACAGTTGACAGTGATGCTGAATATACACATTTCTAAATGACCTTGACAACACTAAATCCACATATAGTTAGCAACCAATGAGAGTTCAGCCTTGAGAGTAGGGGGAGAAAAACTGATAACGGTGTGAAAATGGTCATGTGGGTCATTTTAAGGTGATGAGCAAAACCGTAGGAGAAATCTGTGGCAACTCCGTTTCTGAAGACATATCAGAGATCATACTTCGTGAACCTGGTTGGTGAGCAGTCCCCAAATGGAACCTTGTTGACACCACAGTTGGGTGATAGCTGAATAAATCTGCGCACTGTGAGCTATGTCAGCGTGAACTGTGCAATTTGTAAATCACTTGCCGATTGACCATACAACTTTAAGTGTACCGATCCATACAAGTCAGCTAACGAGATTCAAGTCATCTGAACTAATTTAGTTCAGTTAGGTGTATCTGTCGGAGTACACCGCTGATGGGCTCATCCCCAAATGAGTGAAACGGCTGTCTGGTGATTAGATCACTCTGATCGCGCTGCCTGGCGATACAACAGACCAACCTGAATGGTATCTAACTACTCTCATTGTTCAGTAGTAGTATTTGCGCTACACTTAGCTTAGCTTGTCATGCAATGTTAACTGAAGTAACTTGGGGTTGGATAAAGTGCCAACGGAAACATAGTCTCATTTCATAAATTTTTCTTGAAGCTGCAATTCAAGAGTGATATTGCCAGTGAGATCATCACACAACGCATAAAAAGATTCTTGCATCAAGCAATCGCAGCAGCTAAATTATGTCCCGCCTTCTACAACCGCCCGATTCTAGGTGCAAGAAATAAAGACAAACTGCCGGATTCTGCCAATTCTATGTACATTTATCAATTCAATTGCTCCTGTGGAGCGAGTTATATTGGGCGTACAATGAGGCAGTTCCATCGTCGAATTTCTGAGCACCACCCATCATGGTTTAACAAGGGACAAATTAGAACTATAAAGAGCTCCATACTTGCACACTTAGTTGACACAGGACATCAAGTGGTTACTGGAAAAGCCTTCAAAATTATCCATCAGATTCCAATTATTCTACCTCATGGATTACGCACTCAGTTACTTCACATAGCACAGGCGATTGAAATCCACCTTCACAAACCTAGCCTTTGTATCTAAAAGAAGTTTGTCCGACCACTTTCATTACTGTGGCCGTCAAAATCATGTAACTTCTAAGTTTATTTTGTACACCTCTTCCCCCTTCCTGTTTCAATCAATATTCATATTTCCAATTTTAGTAACTCTATTGATTATTTACATCATTATTTCCGAAACACCAACACATGATTGGTAATTTGATTAAACTGTAAACCTATATATTAGTGTAGACCCAAAATGAAGACCTAATTGAAAAGAAATATATTTCTTCACTCAATCAGTGTTTTTCTAAATGTCTAAATGGGTATATTCAATGTATTTGATCTAAATACCGATCAAGATCAGTGGTTTGTGATTTGAAGAGAGAAGGCTTAGAATTGAATCATACTAAAATTCATTGTTGTTTCATTCCTCCTCATTCTTTTCTTGTCAATTTTTACCAACTTTGATTAATTTCCCTTTACTTTTCTACCTATCTCTGATTGATTGGTTGATTGATTGACTGACTAACTGACTGACTGACTGCCTGATTGATTGATTGACTGCCTGACTGAGTGACTCACTGACTGACTGTCGTCCTTTTTGTGCCTTAATCTTGAGTGTCATATCGACATATGGAGTGGACAGATATTCAGCATTGACTTGTAACGTTTATAACTATGCAGAATGCATATCCAGCTAAATGTCGACAAATATACTCACAGTTGTATGTTATCGAGGAGAAATATTATTTCAAGATAAGACAACATATCACCTTTTAAGGGATTATTTTAACATTTCACAGGAAGAAATAATCTACAATTGGAGGTATTTTAAGGATTGTTTGATTGATTTTAAAGTCATTTTTTTTCTTACCATGGATGAGTATAGGCCAGAGAACTATTAAAAATTGAACTTTTGTGTACATTTGTCTGTTTCTAGTATGACACCATTCAACAGCACACAATAATAACTACATAGTGGTTAATACTGACAACCCAATCAGTTTTCATTTTGAACACTTTACCATTTAGTCAGTGGGTTGTAATTTATAGCACTCAGTGTGAACAATATTAAACAAATTTTGGTGAGAGTTCGTTATGGTACCTGGTTGTAACTTTGGGATTCCAGCTGCAGCTATGTCAGATATTCTCATTGAGAATATTAACCTGCCTGTTATGAAATATGAAGATTGTAAGGGTGTGAGTGCGAACTGCACTGAACTCATAGAACAGTAATAAACAGTCGTACAATTCTGAGTTAAATAACTGAAAGTAACGCATTGAAAGCTTGTCTTGATCTAATTAACTACAAGTCTCCACAGAACAAAATATATTACAAAAGTGCTTGAAAAAAAAAGTTACTTACAGTACCACCATGAATTGCTGGTGACGTTTCAGCAATTTTTTGTTTAAGTTGAGCTATTGCTTCTTCCTGTTCTAGACCATTTGCAGCTGCATACACTTTGGCCAGTCTACCTTCAAGAAAACTTAAGAACCCTGGGAAGTCAACATCCCTGAATAAAAGTGGATGATTAAAAGAGAAATGGATCAATAAACAAATTTATTGATCACAATGAATCGTGTTCAAAATATCAAAGAAATAAAATTTTCTACCTGAGCATTCAACTTATCAATCTGTAGAGAAGTGAACCCATAACTCAGAAGTTCAATGGATATAACACTTTGGTATATGAGGTGGTGGGTGTTATGTTCCAGTCTAAGTTGGGAAAAATATATTTCGCTGGGATGTGTAGCTGATGAGCCCTAAATCGGAAGAAATTCACAACCTTGGTCCCACCACTAACTATTATTCGTCATCAACAACCATGTATTCGATCCAAGTCCTAGACTCCCCACACTAATCCAAATGGTTAACCAGATGAGTAATAAGACTCAGACCCTTCTCACTTTATAGAAAACACGATAGTATTACCTCGTCAAACAGGAATCTAATGGTGTCTATATTTGACAAATACAGTTAACTAACAGTGAGCCGCATCATCCAAATGAGACTCAGAAATGCTCTCCATTCAAAATAACGACCGCAACAGGCTGGCTGGCTGACTGGCTGGCTGGCTGACTGGCTGGCTGGCTGGCTGGCTGGCTGGCTGGCTGGCTGGCTGGCTGGCTGGCTGGCTGGCTGGCTGGCTGGCTGGCTGGCTGGCTGGCTGGTTGGCTGGCTGGCTGGCTGGCTGGCTGGCTGGCTGGCTTCAGGAAGAACAAATCATATGTGCATCAAATTGTAACGTGACGCCAAGCATCATCATAAAACAGATAACAGAATGGCAGTCAACTGCATCCTCAACTCAACTTCATCCATCTTGTTAAGCTCTTCCATATCGTCGACCGAGGAGTAATTTGACAGACAGCTACTTCAACACTACGGTTCCACTTCCACAAACATTCATCAACCTCATTCAACAACAGCTATATGCTACATGATGATACTACATGCCAAGTGGTTCACAATGGAAATCTGAGTGATGCCTGTGAAGTGAAGACAGGAAGGAGTAGGACAAGGTTGACGCCTACTACCATCGATCGTCTTCCTGATTGTGATCGACTGGACTGAACTGAACTGGAGTGGAGTGGATGATGCGAGAAACTGTGAGTAGCTGTGAGAAGATGTTCATACACTGGCTGGACTGATATGATGAAGAGACCTGAGAATAAGATTTGGATTTCGTCACCGATGATGATTTATGTGTCATGTCTCTTGTTGCAGAAACTCGAAGATCTACATGTGAGAACTAACAAGTTGTCAGAAGAGGTGAGGTGAGGTGAGGTGATGCTAGGCAGGCGAGGCGAGGCGAGGCGAGGCGAGTGGAGGCAGCGAATGAAGACGGGACTTCCTTCATGTGAACGTGGAGAAGACAGAGGTGATGAAGAAACCCAACTAGCAACAACAATAAGTATCAGTTAGCATGAAGAGGAGAAATCTGAGGGAAGTTGTCTTTTTCACGTAGGTGGGCAGGACAGCATCGTTTCAAATATAGGCAGTGGCGGTGGCGGCGGCGGTGGGACAGATGAGTATGTCAAAGTGAGGATAGGAAGACACCAAGACCGGTCATCACCAATCTGAAATGCAGTGTTCTGCACTGCACTGCACTTAACATAAAGAGTGAACAAGATGCGGATTTTCAACACTAGGTCAGTCAAGTTAGTGCTTCTTTGTTATGGTTGGGAGACTTGGCGCGTTAAGAAAAGCATTTCTAACAAACTACAGACATCTGTGGACAGCTGCTGCCTACGCTCGCTCACTGGATACTGAAGATGAAGATCAGATGGCCAGAATCATAAGAATAAGCAACAAGGAAGTCACTCTGGTCTGTCTGGCTACCAATCAACCGATCAAGAAAGTACAGATGGATTAGATTGGACATGTACTGAGAAGGAAAACGGTTTGGGGACATCACGCGTCAGGTCAGTTCAGGCCCTCGAATGGGAAACAACGAGTTTGGCGTCTGAGAGCGGCATGGAGGAGGTCATGTGAAGAAGGAATGAAAGTTTATGGGAAGTCATGGATCCGGGTTGAAAAGACTGTAGGGATGAGAGTGAAATGGTGACATGCAACCGAGGCCCTATGTTCTACAAGGAAGCCAAAGGACAAATAATAATAAATAATAGTATGATACAAATATGATAGGGTATCATTTCTAGACTTCTCATCTCAGGGTCAACTTGTTTATCACAGCCTTCAAAAAGTAATTTTGAGAATGTTCTTTCTTGAATTCAGTTCCCAATGAACGCTAAATCACAACTCGAATCAGTTATTTTTAAGGAGTGAACCGATTTTGAAGACAATCTACATCATTTATGACCAAGGTGAGAAACATGGATGAGATGTCGATAGGATATCCATTTCAACCTACTTCATGGCGACTTCACATACATGCACAACGTCAACTTGCCACTCAAAATGTAGCAAATAAGAAGTAGCCTAGTGGGTCATCCTCATACGTTTGAAGCGAGTGGTCCTGGGCTCAATTTTCAATGGGAACAATATCGCCTGTCGCGGGACAGGTACATCTATCTGGTGGGTTCCAAATAGGACAAAACCCGTATCCTTGATTGAACTGTTTATGAATAAACTAAAAAATAACCATCATAAAGCACCGTCTGCCACAGATTCATTTTGTATCAGGTAACTACACATGTATACCGTATTCATTTTTCTACTCTATCATAGATCTAACCTGCATTACGTAATTACAATCTTATTTTCATAATACCCTGGCGGCCTGCTTGAACTCTGGGCTACCGTTTTCTATCATCGAGTATATTGCACCAAATTTCTTATTTGTATATTGTTTTAATCGTTTAATTATGTCAACCAATCGTATTGTATATTCTCGCGCGTTTTTAAAATCATTACAAGCTATCGCTTCACAAGTCGATAGGAAATTTAAGAAGCACCAAGGTGGATGGCAACGAGCTCTGAAGCGTATGACCATAGATCAAATGACTATTCTGGAAATACTTAGCACAAAGTGCAGGTCGTTGCCGAATAAAGTTGATTACCTTCAGTCACTCTTGTCCACAAATGTTTATCGAAACATGGGTGTAATAATGCTGCAGGAAACATGGCTTCATAATCTGTATGATGATGACTTAGTCTGCTTAGATGGTTTCAAATTATGTCAACAAGATTGAAGCTTTTCAAAGAAGAAATGTGGTGGTGGTGGTGGTGGTGTAGCAACATTTATTAGTACTAACTGGTCGTCCTCCAACTATGTATGCTTCTGCTTCTCTGACGAAAAAATTGAGTGCATTACCATCAAATGTCGTCCCAAACATTTGAGCAAATACAAATACATATATATCACAAACATGTATGTCACACCTGACTGCAGTTTCTCAGATTTGTCAACTTTTGCTGATAATTTCACTGAGTTTGCTGCTCCGGTTCTAGGAAACTCCTTGTCTACTGTCTGTGGTGATTTTAACTCATGTGACTACAGTTTTCTATTAACATTGGGTCATTAAAATATGGTTAACTTTTCCACTCGGCTTGACAACACCTTAGACTTTGCATTTACAAATGAACCTAGCATATATGAAACCCGTAAACGGGCTCCACTGCTCAATTCCAGTCCTCTGAATCATGTCAGTTCGTGATATATATATATCACGAACTGACATGATTCAGAGGACCGGAATTGAGCATATATATATATATATATATATAACCTCGCCTGGTTAACTAGTTTACTAGTTACTAGCCGGTCCTAAGCCCGGGTAAAGAGGGAAGGTTGGGCATAGGGCTAGCAACCCTACCCCGTAAAACAAATCTAACCGCTAAAGAAACTTCAAAGCACAAACAAAATATAAAAAATGAAAACAAACTTATTCCCCGCTGGAATCGGAGAGGCGAAATGACGCCAGTTGGTGAAAGCCTTCGGGAAGCCAATTGGCCGATGTGTCTTCTCTCGATGAAAGCGAAAGTAAACGTGGGGACATGGAATGTCCGCACGATGTTTGAACCCAGTAAGGCAGCCCAGATTGCAAGGGAGATGAGAAGGTATAACATCGAAGTGCTTGGGATTTGCGAAAGCAGATGGAATGGGAGTGGACTCTCCAAACTGTCAACTGGAGAATCAATAATCTACTCCGGTCACCCAGACGCCAACCACGAGCACACTGAGGGAGTGGCTATCATGATGTCCTCAAGAGCATCGAAGGCTCTCATGCAGTGGGAACCAATCTCCTCCAGGATCATGACAGCAAGATTCAACTCAAAAGGAAGAAAGGTCACAATCATACAATGTTATGCACCTACAAATAATGCAGAGCAAGAGAAAAAGGAGGATTTCTACAGACAACTTCAATCAACACTGGACAAGACGTCAGTTGGCGATATCAAAATTCTGATGGGCGACATGAATGCCAAACTGGGAGGGGACAACACGGGAAGAGAACTAACCATGGGTCGAGAGGCACTAGGTGAAATGAATGAGAATGGAGAATTGTTTGCAGAATTCTGCGCATTCAACGATTTGGTGATTGGAGGCAGTGTGTTCAGGCACAAAGATATCCACAAAGCGACATGGATTTCACCAGATGGACACACTAAAAATCAAATCGACTTTATCTCAATCTCAAGAAAATGGAGACGCAGTCTACTTAACACAAGGTCAAGAAGAGGAGCAGATGTAGGTTCAGACCACTACCTAGTGCAAGGAACCTTCCAAATCAAGTTAAAAGCCTTCAAGGAAGCTGGTGATAGACCTCAATTCAAGTACAACACTCGGAAACTGAAGGATGAAACTACAAAGGAGATCTTCAAGGCAGCCATCAAGACAAAATGGGAGACATCGAGCAACATCCCTGAAGAAACCTGTGTGGAAGAACACTGGAAGTCTTTGAAAGCTATGTGGAAAGAAACCTGCACAACAGTATTAGGAAGGAAGAAGAAAGAAGACAAGGAATGGATCTCGACGGATACCTGGAAGCTGATAGAGGAGAGGAGGATGGTGAAGCAGAAGATAAACCAGTGCAAGGATGCTCAACGACA